AATGACTGCTCACTGGCGTTTCAGATGAGCTTCAGTACTCCTCTAGGAGTCAGGGCACCAGTCTTTGGGCTATCACTTTTGTTTCCTTTAAGATTGCCACACTTTAGGGAGTCAGGTGGTTTGCTTGTTTGTGTTGAGACAGGGTCTCACCTTGTAACCCTGTAGACCAGGCTGGCTTAGAAATCACTGAGATCCACCTGTCTGCTTCCCCAGTGTTAGGATTAAAAGTGTATGCTACCATGCTGGTAGGAATCAGGTCTTTTATGTTTGTTGTGTATTTTATGGCTCTGGCATGGTGAATGTGTGCTCTATCTCTGGGCTACACCCAGTCTGGAAGCTAGTTTTTTATTTGAATTCAGCACTCTCCACATGCTAGATACATGTGAGTGCTTTCCAAGTATTTTCTGTCTAATCTCTGACAGCTACTCTGGAAATCACCTACCAGTTCTGAGGTGAGCTAGTAACACAGAATTAACTAGTTGGGGACTATTAGCCTAGTACATGAACATCTGCCCCCACAATGCTGACACAGACCTCTTATGAGAGCCTGGGACCTGCCCTTAGCGACTCTCTCTCTCTCTCTCTCTCTCTCTCTCTCTCTCTCTCTCTCTCTCTCACCTTGTGTGTGTGTGCACAGGGAGGTGATAAGTGCACATGTGTGTGCATGTGCAGGGCAAAGTCTGTGTCTTCCTTAATCACTTTCTTTTTTTTTTTTTTTTGAGACAGAGTGAGATTGGTCGGTGGGTAAAGCACTTGCTACCAAGCCTGACTACCTGAGTTCAGTCCCTGAGATTCACATGATGAAAGGAGAGAGCCAACTTGAGCAAGTGGTCCTCTGATCTCCACGTGTGTGTCATGGCACACATCCCTCCACCCCCAGCAAAATAATGCTCTTAACCACTGAACCATCTCTCCAGCCCTTGCAAAAAAAAAATAAATGTAATTTTTAAATTTTTATTATTTTACATGTATGAGTGCTTTATCTCCATGTTTTTTTTTTTTTTTTTTTTTTTTTTTTTTAATCTCCCTGTAGCTCCAGCTGTCCTGGAACTCACTATGTAGACCAGGCTGGCCTTGAACTCACAGAGATCCGCCTTCCTCTACCTCCCGAGTGCTGGGATTAAAGGCGTGCGCCACCACGTCCGGCATCTCCATGTTTTTAAGTGCACTCATGTCATGCAATGCCTGAGGAGGCCAGAAGAGAGTGTTAGATCCCCTGGAACTGAAGGTACTGATGGCATGGGTGCTAGGAACTGAACTTGGGTTCTCTGTAAGAACAGCCAGTGCTCTTAACCACTAAGCCCTCTCTCCAGCCCCAAATAAATGTAATTTGAGAGAAGAGAGAGACTCTCACTAAACCTGGAGCTCACCGATTTAGCCAGACTAGCTGATCAGCAGCCCCCAGGGATTCTCTTATCTTTATTTCCCCAGTACTGATTACAGACATGCTCTGCTGCATCTAGCTTTATTTATTTATTATTTATTTATTTTTATTTTATGCGTATGAGTGTTTTGCCTGTATGCATGTAAATGCAGCTGACCTGTGCATGCAGTGCCCATGAAGGCGAGAAGAGTGCATCAGTTCCCCTGGAAGTGGAGTTAGTGATGGTTGCTGTTGCCATGTGGGTACTGGGGATGGAACCCAGGTCTTCTGCAAGAGCAGCTAGTTCTCTTAACTGCTGAGCTATCGCTCCAATCCCTGCATCTAGCTTTTATATGGGTACTAGGGATTCAAACTCGGGTTCTCATGACTTTACTGACAGCCATCTCCCAGCCTATTTTAATTAAATATATTTACTTATTTATGTATGTAGGTATGCATGGCATGCATGCCATAGCACACATATGGAGGTCACAGAACAACTTGTGGGTGCTGGTTCTTGCCTTCTACTACATGGGTCCTGGGGAATCAAACTCAGGTTGTCAGGCTTAGCAGCAGGCACCTTTATACCACTGGCCCTAGTCTATTTGTTTATTATCCTTTTTCTTCCATGTCATGGATAGAACCCAGGGCCTTGCAACCTATTAGGCAAGCAGTCTACAGTTGAGCTGACCCTCCAACCACAATAAATATCCTTTTATTGAACAGTTATTTCTTCTCCAATGTTCTGATCACTGCAGGTAGCCTCCAAACACTTTTGAATCCTTATTGGAAAAGCCAAAAAGAGAGAGAAAGGAGAAAATGCAAAAGGAATACAAGAAGGAGGAAACAAAGGAAAGAGAAGCAGGAAGGCAATTCTGCAATGATACTCATTCCTTTATTGTGGACTGTTAATTTGAACAGGGCTGGGGCCTGCAGGCTGCTGGCAGCACCAAGCTGGGGTGCATTTCCACTCAACAGAGAGGACTTATCCTAAGCCAAGGGGGGCAGAAAGAAATTTATATATATATATATTTGTATATTACATATGTCCTGTATAGTCATATGTATAGAATGACAAGAATGGGCCACTGCATATAACTTTATAATTAAAGACCATACAACAGACATGGAAAATTGGTCCTAATTAAGGCCCTTTGTCAATCAATATGTGATACATCAAAAGAAAAAGGAGAGGGAGACAGAGACTGAGACCCAGCCACCTCTGGTGGCCCTGTTCCCAGAATATCTTACATTGGGTATAGTGCCCCCTGTACAGGTAAACACACACAAACACACACACAAACACACATACACAATACCACAGGCTGGAGATCTTCCTCTGACTACATCTTGGGCCCAGCCCTCAGACTGGGGTTGGTGAAGTGGGATATATTGTGCTATAAGACCATGAGGGACAAATGACCAGACCATGTAGAGTCGATGTGTCCCAGTGATGAATGGGGTGACACGTGCTGCTTCATCCACAAATGAGAAAGAGCTCAGTGGGAGAGGCCACTCACTGGTGGTCCCTCGATGCCTAGGTCACCTGAGGGATTTCTATATACTCCTGTCCCAGACACAGGTGAAACTCTGATATGAATCCTGAGTGCTAAATAATCTCCTGGCCGCTGATGAAAAACTGAGATTCCCTTCAAGGACCGGAACAAATGATAACTGAGTGGCTCCACCATCTAGTCCAGTAGTTACAGCAGAAAACAGCAGAGGAGTTAAAGCAAGCAATCCTCAGGGAAGAGCCTGAATGGTGCAAGAAAGTCTTATTTCCTGAAGGGAAGAGAACAGTCCCAGTGCTCCCTGCCACACACAGACCTTCTGGCGGAATCTGTCACCCTCACATTTTATATAAATGAAAGAATTGCTCACAACCCAGGGAAGGAGACAACCAGCATGAAGGCATCTGCAATCTGAACTTCCTTGTTTGTGTTCATGATTAAATCTTTACCCCACCACCAAAACACAGGACTTTATAATCTTTAGTCTTAAGAGAATTTCTTAGCTAGGCATGGTGGTGCATGCCTTTAGTCCCAGCACTCTAAGGAGGCAGGCAGAGGCAGGTGGACCTCTGTGAGTCCGAGGGTCCGAGGCCATCATGGTCTATATAGTGAGTTTCAGACTAGCTGGGGCCACAGGGAGAGACCCCATCTCAAAAAGACCCCCCCAAAAAAAGAATTTCTTAATTTTTCAACTAATAATAACTAAATAGTAAACTATTAAATGTTTACAACAGAAACTATAATTCCTTATATAAGGAATTATGTACTTATCAGCATGTTTCAAGTAGATTCAAGGCCTAAAAAAGATTAGACATAGGGCTAGGAATGGTGATGCATGCCTGTAACCCCAGCACTCAGGAGGTAGAGGCAGGAGGATTATTGCTTCCAATTTGGTTTATGTAGTAAGTTCTAGGTCAACCATGGCTACAAAGCAAGACTCTTACCAAAAAAGAAAACCAAACAACTCCTCCCCCCCAAAAAAACCAAACCACACCAAAAACCCATAGAGGATCATGTATGTATGCCCTAGAGGCACTCCAGAAAAGTAATTGGGGAGGGAATCCAGGGTAGCTGTAGAATAGATAGAATTGGGTGATCTTCAGTTTAAATTTAAATTCTTTTATTTTTGCTATGTAGCTGATGATGACCTTGAGTCCTGATTCTCCTGTCTCCACCTCCCAAATTCTAGGATTAAAGGCATGTATCACCACACTCATTTTAAATACTCATAGAAGGTAACTATAAACAACTTTAAAAAAAAGATTTATTTTTAATTTTGTGTATGTGTGGGTCTGTGCACGAGAGTGCAGGTACCTGCAGAGGCTAGAAGAGGAACTTTGGATCCCCTGGAACTAGAGTCAGACACAGTTGTGAGCCACCCGATGTGGATGCTAGGAATCAATTTCAAGTTCTCTGGAAGAGCAGCAAGCATTCTTTACCTCTGAGCCATCTCTCCATCACCACTTTTTTTTGAGATAAGCTTTCATTATATAGAATAGGCTGTCCTCAAACAAACAGCAATCCTACCTTAACCACTAAGTAACTATAAACAATTTTGTAGGACTGCATACATGTACAAAAACATTTAAAAAATAAACAGTGGATATGGTAGCTCATACCTGTATTCTCAGAACTTGGGAGGCTGAGGCAGAATTGCCTCAAACTTGAGGTTAGGATGGGTCAACAGCAAGTGAGTATCAGGCCAGGGCTATGCAGAAAGGCCCTCTCTTTAAAAAATTTTTAATTAATAATTTATTTTTATTTTATGTGTATGAGTGTTTTGCCTGCATTGTATGTAAGTGCACCCAGTGTATGCAATGCCTACAGAGGCCAGAAGAGTGTATTAGATCCCCTGGAACTGGAGTTACAGATGGCTGTTAGCCACCATGTGAGTGCTAGGAACTGAACCCAGGTCCTCTGAAAGAATGAGTGCTCTTAACTACTGAGCCATCTCTCCAGCTCCAGAGAGGCCCTATCTTTAGAAAGCTGGGTGTGGTGCATGCCTTTAATCCCAGCACTTGGGAGGCAGAGCCATGTGGATCTTGGTGAGATGGAGGCCAGCCTGGTATACATAGCAAGTTCTATTCCATCTGGAGCTATAGGGAGACCCTGTTTCAAAAAAAAAAAAAAAAAGTTTTACCATGTTAAAAAAAAAGGGAATGAAAATTAACTTTTTTAAAAATAGAAATTTACTTATCACTTGCAATACCTGGAGACATTTGGGGCTATCACAAAGGAAGGTGAGAAGCTGAGGAAGGACCAATTTGTACAAGTAGTAGAGAATGGATGGATTTTCAACGAATTGTGAGGTGAATGTGATAACCACTACACTGCATAAACTCGGTAATTTTCAGCAAATTGTATTCCCCAAAATGTGGCTAAGAAACAGGGGTAAATAGCAATCCAGCAAAGACGGTGCCTGGTCTCTTTTTCTTGTGCTAGCTGCAAGGGAAAAGGAACGGATTTTGCTATCTGCTTACAGTCAGGGGCAGAATGACACTGATCCCTCCCTGGACTGAGATCTGGCAGCTGTGGGGGAACAATGATCAAAGCCGGAAGAAGCCACACCTCAAAACAGAGTTAGTTTGATGGCTGTTCACCAAAGGAACTTCTTGGAGGGGACAGCAACAAAGAGAGCAGAGGAGGGACTTTCCTTGATGACAGGCCACGTTGTCTCCACACTGTTCCATTTCCTTCAGGTCCCACGGCGACAACTGGTTGTTCACAATACCCAGTCTGAGAGTGGGGAAGGTGGGCAAGGATGTAGAGTTGGGGAAGTCATGAGTTCTTGCCAAGTCTGAAGAACATGGGCTGAGTGTTGGTGAGGCCACTGAAGTCCTTGGAAAAGAGCGGGGGAGGTTGGAAGAGTCTGAGGCCCAGAGAGAGGAGAGCAAGGCTCAGTCCACCAGGAGCATAGGCCCAACACTGTCAGGAAGCCTCCTGCCCTCAGTGGGTACCCAGCAGTTTCCCATCCCCAGAATGTGTTCAAGTGCGCTCACCATCAGAGGAGAAGATGGAGACTATGGAAAAAGATGGGTAGAAAAAGTACTGTCTTCTCAGGCATAGGCCATCTTCCCTCCTAGGGGTAGCTGACATGGGGGAGGAGCTTGAGATCTGACTGGGAGGGTCTCCCCAGCTAAGGAGAAAAGGAGGCTATGCAGTGAGCATGGCAGGCCCAGACAGCTCAGGCAAGGACATCTCTCCTCACTAACCAAGCTCCATGAATAAATAACATGAATTAAATAAAGGAGGCACAGACAGCGGCAGAGGCACCATCTGCCAGATTCTTGCCTCTTCGCACACCCACCCACACCCACACCCACACCCACCCACCCACACACACACACACACACACACACACACACACATACATACATACAGCTTATGCACACACACCACACACATGCACCAAACGGCAGATGAGATGAGCCAGGGTTTGCTGCCCTGTCTTAGGAGTCTGTCAGGTGGGCAGCTGACTGAAGGTTATCAATCATGGTCTACCACTGTTGCAGGGTGCAGAGGAGCAGAGGCCATGGAGGCATGTGTGGTGGAGGGTGGAGGCCGCTGAGGACTCTGGCACCTGCAGAGAGGCAAGAAGATAGACCAAAAGGATTAGGGAAATCAGGAGACAGAAATTCTAGGCTTTTCCTTTCTTTTCCGATAGTCTCTTGGGTTGCTACCCAAACCCTCTTTCAGTCTTGACTAGCTCATGCAATCCCACTGCCTCTTAAGTCCATGGCTCACTCTGACCACAGTGTACTAACCAGGATCTGGACTTTCGCACTTTAGACGTGGAAGGTCTTTCCAGAAAGCTGTCCAACCGCATAAGCCTCTCCATGTGTAGTGCACGAGGGTCTTGTTCTTGGTCGTGGGAAAATTCCATCTCAAAGACAGCAGGTGGAGACACATCCAATTCCAAAAACATTATATTTTCAGCCTGTTGTAAAATCACACAGCATATGTGAGCAGCAGTCTCAGAGTGTCTCTTCTGAGTGTATCCCATGGTGATGGAATACTTAGAGGAAGCACAGCATCCCTTCCCCTCAGATTTCTCTCCCTTCCTGGCTTCTACTCCCTAGCTTCTTACCCTGTATCTGGGATGGGACCCCATTGCCATGGCAACCCGAGCATACTGGCTGATAGGTCTCTTGTAGCCCACTGCAGATGTTGGCCGCTTCTTCATTTGGCTGTTATTCCTGTAGGGAAGAGGGAATGAGGTTTTTGTTTGTTTTGGGAGATGAGATCTCATGTAGTCCAGGCTAGCCTCAAACTCACTATGTAGTTGAAGACGACCATGAGCTAGATCCTCCCAAGTGCTAGGATTATAGGTGTATATCACCATGCTGGGCTAGAATGGATTTCTTCAAACACAAAGGGCAAATGGTATCATGTAGAACTAAGTGTCACTCAGTCACTCATGCAGTTGGGAGGACCTGAGGACTTCGAGGTCTTCACCTTCCTTCTTGTTTGAATACAACCTGACAAGTTAAACTAATATAAATGCCAGAAAACAAGACTTATCTCTCTTATTGCTCTAACTTTTTTCCACAGTAAAAAGGGCCGATGCAGGCTAGAATGAGAAAGGAGATCCAGCCTCATTTTAGATTTTAGATTCATAAACTGATTTATATACCACACAAAACCATTGAGGGCTGGAGCAAGAGCTTAGTAAGGTGCTTGCCTTGCAAGCATGAGCACTGGAATTCAATGTTCAGAACCCACATAAAAATCCCATAAAAAGGCCAAGATAGTGGCACACAATTCTAATTCCACTGCTGGGGAGGCAGACACAGGAAAATCCCTGGGGCTTGATGGCCAGCCAGCCTACTTGGTAAGCTCCATGCCAGTAAGAAACCCTGTCTCAAATAAAAGGTAGATAATATCTGAGGAATAACACCTGAGGTTGTCCTCTGGCCTCCACAGGTACATGTATACAAGTATGTGTGCACCTCCCTCCACCAAGCATACACATGGTCATGTGTATACACACCTCCACCCCACACCCCCACACCATTAATCACTGATGGTCTGCTTTTCAGTTTCCTTCATAAGCACACAATAAAATGGCTAAACTTGGCCAGATATGGTGGAGGATGTGCATAATCCCAGCACTTGGGAGGCAGAGGAGGAGAACTGGGAGTTCAAAGCCATCCTCAATTTCAGAGTGAGTTCAAGGCCAGCCTGGGCTATGAATACCTGTCTGAAAATAAGGGGTTGGGTTGAAGGTTCACTGGTAAAGTACTTGCCTACCATGTTCAAGACCTTAGGTTCAATTTCTAGTACTTCCAAACCACACCAAACCAACCCCCTCCACACGCACACAAATCCATACTGAATGGACAAACTGCCAGCACTTTTTTAAAAGACCACACCCATGTAAAAAGCTAGACATGGCAGTGAACACTTGTAATCCTAGAGCTAGAGAATCAGAGAAAGGAAGATCCTTGAGACTGCTCTACCAGCTAGCCTGCATTGGTGGTCTCCAAGTCAATGAGATGCTATGTTTCAAAAGGCAAGGTGATTGAAGAAGATACCCAATGTTGATCTCTAGCCTTAACGAGTAAATGCACATACAATAGCACCCCCCAACACACAGAGAAAGTGAAAGAGAGAGAGCAAATAAAAAAATATAGTTTTTTTGCATGACATGGGTAGACTTACATACATGCAGCTAATACATGCACACACATAAAAATAATAAAATATTTTAAAAGGTAAAGGTTTTCATTTTTGTTGTTTTAAGACAGGGTCTCTACTATGCAGTCCAGGCTGGCCTCAAACTTCTAGTGATCCTTTGCCTCAGCCTCCTGAGTGATGGAATTACAGGATGGAATTACTAGGATGACTTTGATTGTCTGATCCTCCTGCCTCTACCTCCTGAGTGTTGTAATTATAGGCATGTGCCATCACATCTAATTTATTCAATGCTGGAGATCAAAATCAGGGCCTTTTGCACACTAGGCAAGCACTCTACTAACTGAGATACATCCTCAGCCTTAGTCTTTTATTTTTCTGTGTGATTTTGTATAGTATATGCATGTGTGTATGAGGGTGGTGCATGGGTGTGCAAAGGCCAGAGAAAGACATTGGGTGTCCTCCTCTATCACCCTCCACCTTATTCCTTTGAGACAGAGGCTCTCGCAACCTGGAATTTGGAGTTTGCTATTTTTTGGCTAGGCTGGCTGGCCAGTGATACTTAGTAATCTTCCTGTCTCTCCACTGTCTCTCTGCACTGGGGTTACAGGTGTGTGTGCAGCCATATCCGGCTTTAAAAAAAAATATTTTATTTATTATTTTTATTTATGTGTATGTGTGTATTGCCTGCATGTAGGTAAGTGCACCCATGTCGTGCAGTGCCCATGGAAGATGGAAGATGCTGTCGCATCCCCTGGAACTGGAGTTACGAACAGTTGTTAGCTGCCATGTGGGTGCTGGGATTCAAACCCGGGTCTTCTGCAAGGACAGCCAGTGTTCTTAACCTCTGAGCCATGTCTCCAGCCCCATATCTGGCTTTCTATGGTACTAGGAATCTGGACTCAAGTCCTCATGTTTGCACAGCAAATGCTCTTGCCAGTGAGCTATCTCCCTAGCCCAAATCGTCTTTTTAAATTTATTCATTATTTTTATTTTATGTGTATGAGTGTATTGCCTGCATGTATGTGAGTGCACCCGTGTCGTGCAATGCGGCAGAGGTCAGAAGAGGGCTTCGGATTCCCCTGGAACTGGAGTTAAGGACGGTTTGTAACCACCATGTAGGTGCTGGGAATCGAGCCTGGGTCCTCTGCAAGAGCAGTCAGTGCTCTTAACCACTGAGCCATCTCTCCAGCCCCCATTTTTTTTTAATTTCGTTTTTAATTAATTAATTAACATTAATTAGTGTGTGTATGCATGCCACAGCACACGTGGAAATCAGAGGAGTCAGAATTTTGAGGAGTCAGTTCTCTCCTTCCATGTGGGTCCTGGGAATCAAACTCAGGTAGTCAAGCTTGGTGGTAAGTACCTTTACCCACTGAGCTATCTTGCCACCAAATCTTTTGTTAGAAAGATTATTTTGGCCCATCTGTGTGTAAGAATTATAGATCACTGACATTCTAATGAGATATGATTTCTCCGGCACTCAGTTCAGATGTATTATGTAAGATGGATGGGGTTTTCATTTGCTAATAGAAAACATGAAGTTGGGGTGGGGGGTCAGGGAATGGTAAGGTGAGTATTGAGATAGAAGAAGGGGTCTGAATATGATCAAAGTACATTGTATGAAATTCTTCAATCAATAAAAAATTAATTATTTTTAATTTTTAAAATTTATTTTTGGATCTCTGTGAGTTCAAGGCCAGCCTGTGAGTTCAAGGCCAGTTGAGGCTACAGGGAGACCCTGTATCAAAAAGACCAAAAAAATAGAGGCTGGAGAGATGGCTCAGTGGTTAGGAGCACTGACTGCTCTTGCAGAGGACCCAGGTTCGATTTCCAGCACTCACATGGTGGCTATGAACTGTCCTTAACTCCAGTTCCAGGGGAATCTGATGCCCTCTTCTGACCTCTGCAGCATTGCACGACACGGGTGCACTCACATACATGCAGGCAATACACTCATACACATAAAATTAAAAAATAATAAAATATTTTTAAAAAATATCAAAAAATAGGCCGGGCATGGTAGTATACGCCTTTAGTCCCAGCACCTGGGAGGCAGAGGCAGGCAGATCTTTGTGAGTTTGAGGACAGCCTGGTCTACATGAGTTACAGGACAGCTGGGCTACAAGGAGACCCTGTCTCAAAAAAGACAAAAAATAAAAAAGTAAAATAAAATTTATTTTCATTTTATGTGTATAAGTGTTTTGCCTGCATATATGAAATGCACCACATGTATGCAATGCCTGTAGAGGCTGAAAAAGGACATTGAATTCCCTGAAACGGAGTTATGGAATTTTGAGACAGGGTCTCCCTATAGTCCCAGTTGTCCTGGAACTTACTATGTAGACCAGGCTGGCCTTGAACTCACAGAGATCCCCCTGCCTCTGCCTCCCGAGTGCTAGGATTAAAGGCGTGCACCACCACACCTGGCAAGGACAATTGTTTTTTTAAAAAAAGTTTTGAATGTTATTTTTGGGGCTTAAGAGACTAAGTAGCAGTTTGGAGCACTGGGTGTTCTTGGAGAGGACTCAGGTTTAACTCCCAGCACCCACATGTCAGCTAGGGGACCTGACGCTCTCTTCTGACTTCCATGGGCATTGCACGACATGGGTGCACTCATACACGCAGGCAACACACTCATATACAAAAAATAAAAATAATAAAATATTTTTAAAAAATGGTCAGGCATGGTGGTACACACCTTTAATCCCAGCACTCAGGAGGCGGGTGGATTTCTGTAAGTTCAAGGCCAGTCTGGTCTCCATAGCAAGTTCCAGGCAGACAGAGCTACAGGGAGACCCTGTCACAAAAGACCAAAAAAATTTTTTAAAAATGTTATTTTAAGTGTGTGTGTTTATGTGCATAAGAATACAGGTGCTCGAGGAAGCCAGGTGTCTGATCCCCAGGAGCAGCCGTTACATGAAGTTGTGAGCTGCCTGATGTGATTGCTGGGAACTGAATTCAGGTGTCTGGAAGAGTAGTACATTGTTTCAAAAAAGAAAGCTTCCTGCTTGTGCTAGATGGCTTTAGTTATGGACTTGACATACTTGGGTAGAGGGAACCTCAATTGAGGCATTTCCTCCTTTGGATTGGCCTGTGGCCATGTCTGTGGGGCATTTTCTTGCTTGTTGAGTGATGTGGGAGGGCCCAGCCCATTGTGGTTTTGTGTTATATAAAAAAGCAGGCTGAGCACAGGCCAGGGGAGCAAGCCAGTAAGCAACATTCCTCTGTGGCCTGCGCATCAGCTCCTGTCTCCAGGTTCTTGCCCTGAATTCCTTCAGTGATGAACTGACCTGAGAGACATGAGATAAAATAAACCCTTTCCTCCCCAAGTTGGTTTTGGTCAGGGTGTTTTGTCACAGCAATGGAGAAGAAAACTAGAACACTGATCTTGTGGAGGACCTGAGTTCAGTTCCCAGCACCCACATTGGGCGGCTCTCACAACCATCTGTAACTCCATCTCCAGGGGATCTGATGCCATCTTCTCACCTATGCAAGTACCAGTATTCACATACACACGCGCACACACACAAAGTTTTTAAAAATAATAAAAATAAATCTT